GTGTTTATGATCTCTGTGGTGGATTTATTATCTGCAGGCTCCAGCTTTGCAGAGGAAAGGGTTTGTGAAGAGCTGGTGAGGCTCCTGGGCTCTCCCCGGTCAAGAACCTAAAAATAACCTTAAACAGCCTCCTTGGCTTAAATATTTAAGCTGCCTTTGCTTTTAAAATGCAAAAGGAGCTTCTCCTTTGGCTTGCTGATGTGTTTATGATCTCTGTGGTGGATTTATTATCTGCAGGCTCCAGCTTTGCAGAGGAAAGGGTTTGTGAAGAGCTGGTGAGGCTCCTGGGCTCTCCCCGGGGTGGTGGAAGTCGGGTTGCGGGAGGGATCTGGGGAAGAAGGGGGTTGATTCGGGTTAGAACCGGCCTTGCCATGTCTGAGCTGGGAGGAGGGAGGAAACCGCTGTCACAGACATCCTGCTGTTGGAACAGGATGGTGGGATGGGATGGAAAACTTCTTCCAGACCTTTCCCTGCCCTGGGCAGGGGCTTTCCCGAGGGGATGGGGAGAGCCGTGGGCTGGGGCGCTGCGAGTTCACCAGCCACCGGGCTTCCCGCTTTAGCTCACCCGTGCAATGAGTTCGGTGTCACCAGTCCCCCGAGGCTGAGCCTGTCCTGGGGGAAGAGTGGGCAGCGACTTCCTGGAGGTCCCAGCCTCCGGCTGGATGGTCCGGGGTATGTGTGGGCTCCTGGGAACTAGGGGACAGCATGAGATCTTCACATTGGAAAAAGCTCTGCTTATCCACAGAGATATTCAAAGACTGCAAAGAGCTCTGGGCAAGAGCTGGCAGGGGCATCTTTGGCACTTGAAGGGCTCCAAAGTCACCAGAGTGGGACTGACTGTCCCCTCGCCCTTCCCAGCTGAGCACAAGAGGCTACAAGCCAACCTTTCTCATCTCATTTTGGGGCTGGGACACGGAGTTTGGTGGACTTTGGGGGCTGAAGTTGGCTGGCTCTGCTTATGCTGACGTGAGCCCAGGCTGTGCCTCTCCAGGCATCGGCTGAAGCTGCTAAACCCAACTTTGGGAATGAGCATGTCATGAGCTGGGTCACCAGCTCCTCTCTTTGGTGATGTCCTCCAAAGCCCTCCCTGTATCACCTGGCTGTGCAGGGACGAGCCCAGCAGCCACCAGTGTGGCTCCCGAATAGCAACTGAATTAGAGGAGATCTCGCTTAAACAACTCCCCCCATGCCCCCCCCCCCCAGCCCCAGGGCTCCCTGAACAATGGTGAACTGAGATCTTGATCATTTTT